ACGGCCCGGGAGCGCCGCTGGTGCGGGGCAGCGCTGAGCCCGAGGGGTTTGTCCGCTCGGGGTGCTGCTTCGTGGCTAATCCCTCTCTCTGTTTATATATTTAATAGCTTGGAGGAGTTTCGCTTGGTTTTGACGCTGGTTGTTGTTGTTGTTTGATGGTGGGTTGTTTATTCCCCTCCCCCCCAGTTGTCGGGTAAGGATTTGAGTGGAAGCTGCGATCTGTCAGGATGAGTTTTCTGCTGCCCCAACTGAGCTGTAAGAGGGAAGTGGATCAGGCAATAAAGAACGTGGCTGAGAAGGTTTTGGTTCTCCGTTTCGGAAGAGATGATGATGCTGTTTGTCTGCAGCTGGATGATATTGTAAGAGCAATTTTTGTTTCTTCTTCTATACCCCTTGTATACAAGAGAGGGTCATATGTTGCTTTTGACTAAAATTGTGTCTCTTGAAAAATTTGATGACAATTAAATACAGAATGAAATGATACTATATTCACAAAGAGGTATGAAAAGTAGGCAAATGTTTGTGTTATTGTAGTGGGTGTACAAAGTGCTTGAGGTACCCCAGGCATGATATCCTAGCCCTGCTTAAACTAATAAGACATAAGAACAACAGGCTTTATGAAACTTGCCATCCTTTTTTCCCCCCTTGTGGCTCAGTTCATTTCTCACCCACCTTTCTTACTCTTTTCAGCTTGCAAAAACAGCTCATGACCTGAGTAAAATGGCAGTCATCTACCTGGTGGATGTGAACAAGGTCCCAGTGTACACCCAGTATTTTGACATCAGTTATATTCCATCTACTGTGTTTTTCTTCAATGGACAACACATGAAGGTTGATTATGGGTATGTCAGCCTACCTGCATTATATTTTTTATCTGTAAGAATTATCAGTCTTTCTCTATGTTACTGTGTCTGGGGAAGGTAATGTTTGAAAACTATGGCATTGTTACCAGCATCTACATTAAGAACTCCGAGGGAAGTCAGACAGGTGTAAAGCAGAAGTAATTTAAAGTATGCTCTAATGCAGTAAGTAGGTGTCAACTGTGAAATGTGCCTGACTCTGTAAAAAATAGTAAGGGAATGGTTCAAGACTTAGACATGACACTGAACCTGTTTGACCTTTGGAGGTCACAGTATATTCCTGACTCAATTATGCCATTACCAGTGTAGTTCACTGTTTCAGAACAACCAGATCAGAACTGGTAATGTAATTGTACATCTCTTCTTGTCTTTAGGTGGTTTTGCTTTGAACACTAACATTACAATTCTACCTTTATCTTATGTATATATTTAGGTCTCCAGATCATACCAAATTTGTAGGAAGCTTCAAAACAAAGCAAGACTTCATAGATCTGATTGAAGTGATTTACCGTGGAGCAATGCGTGGAAAGCTCATTGTGAGAAGTCCTATTGATCCCAATAACATTCCTAAATATGACCTTCTCTACCAAGGAATTTAATGGGCTGACCTGAGATAAAGAATTATGGAAATGGACAGTGTTCCAGAGCTCTTTTTCTTCAAGCATTTTTAGCCACCTCTGACACTGTGGGACAGTTTGAGCATCTATGCTGAAGGATCATATTGATCTCCTTCCAAAGACAGACATTCTGTCACCTCATGCTTCCCTCATAAATAAACCTACATGCTCGTGCTCAGAATTCACACAAATGACTACTCTTTGAGTTGCATACTGACCAGCCCCTACAAAACAGCCAGGTGGTGTGCATCCTCAACAATGGCATCTCCAGTGCAACCTCCTTAGCTGAACCAGGGCACCATATAGCCCATTAGTTGTCTGTTTAGGACCATTTTCATTCAGATATAATAACAGCAAACATAACTTTATTAAAAAAGCTGTGCTTGCTTTCAAGAACATTCAACTGACTGTGCCTTTCCAATAGAGTTTTACACTTTTACCCATTACTGGATCAGAGGACAGAAGCTTCTTCAAATAGTTTTAGGGATAACTGAAATCTGAAATGGATCTAAACACAAAAGGGAACTTGATGCTTTCCTCTCTGATACCCAGTATTACTGTTTTACAGGTTTTTTTGAAATAGAAACTTGTAGGAGAAAGTTTTGTTATCCTTCAAAGCTCTTCTGCAGGCACTGAACACTTAATTCCTACAGGCTTAAACTGGAAATTCACAATGAACTGTTTTGTTTACATCTGCTTTAAAGATTATTTGAACTTTGCTTATATACGCTGCAAACCTTGAACACGTACATTTAAAAATTATCTGTTTCCCACCTCTGTCTAAAAATTAAACTGCTGAAAGAAAACAGCAATGTCATTCTTTTGCATCAGTTTGCTAATTGCAGGTTGCTAGGGCATTGTATTTCTATAGCAGCTCATGTCTAGTATTGTCAGTGTCTTAGTTGGCTTTAAAATGGAAATTGTTTTAGCTCACCCTGTCACTGTTGGGGCACACCATCTCTAACTGCAGGGAAGGTAGAAGTGTGTAGTTCCTGAAGTACTGTTCAACTTAACAAAAATGTTTCAAGGAGGAAGGTGGATGCTCCAGCTCCTGAAAGATTTTAAACTATATGGTATATAGTGAGGACATGCTTCTTCTAATCTAGATTATCCCTTTAATGAAGCTAAGCACTTAAGCAAGTATTTTCCTGATAGTTTAGTCTGATAATAGAGTCATAACTGTAGAACGATTATTTAAAAAATTACACAGCTGAGAGTTGGTATGCCTTAACATCTTTATTGTGTTCAGCTGTAAATTTCACAGCTAAGCTGAAGGGTTGTGGCTCAAGGCTTTCAACAATGCACTTCTTTCTTAATAGTTAACTTGCATTTATGAATTTCTCAAAAACAAGCAAACTAGCTTCAAACTTAGAACTGTAAGTTGCTCCTCAGTGAGATTAAGGTTCTTAGATGACTGAAATGTGCAGAGGCAGTTATGAAAGGAAGAGACCACTATCAAGAACAAATCCACATACCTTTATTTATTGCCTCTCACATCTGCTGCTTCTGGTTGCAATAGGTGAACTCCTAAAGGTCTTGACTCTCAGCATCCTCTTCAGGTACTTAAAGATGGCATGCAAGCAGCAGGAGGGTGCTAAACCATACTTTTCCGTTCCAGCAGAGACAGTAGGACAATTCACTCTCAAGACAAAGCCCACAGTTTTGTTTAGGGGTTTACTGTTTGACACCCATTCACAGCAGTGTTTCTCTATCCATTCCTTTACCTGTGGATCGTTTCTGGTCTGGTGTTGTATGTTGTGCATGGAGTCGATGAACGCCACAGAGTACACTTTACTCATTACCTCCCATTTTCTCTGCAACAGCAGATCAACAAACACCAAGCCTCCATAGCCATGGGCAATGAAGGCCACATCCTTGGCTGTGCTCTTTGAAATGAAATGATCCCACACATACACAGTGTGCTCCTCGGGGCTGCTGCTGCTCCTCCTGGGTGTACAGGACACAGCCTGTGTGGAAGTAAGTGCTTCTTCCATGGCAGAAAAGCCTTCCTTTCCTGTCTTCAGATCAGCAGAGTTGTCATTGGTATTCAATACAATCACTTCCCAGTGGCTTTGAAGGGCTCTGTCGATGAATGGTATTTGTGTTCCATGTCTCAGGCCCTCATTGACAATCGTCTTTAGCCCCCACTGTCCGGCACAGAAAACTCCACGGTCTTGAAGCAGAATAATTAGGCAAGAGGAACTTGTTAGTGCATTCTCACTCATGAAAAAGAAACTTCTTGGTTCATCCTCTGTAGCATCAATAGGAATATAAACCTTTTGCAGCATGCAGACTCTTTGCAGGAGGTCATAAACATATTGGGTAATAAAATGTCCCAGAACTTCATACCGTTTATGATTCTGGTCATGTCCATTCTTGTAATAATTGAAAACAAAGGGCTCCTTTGTATCCAGATGCCTCAGTTCTCCTTTTATATTGAAGTCATACTTCAGTTCCTCTTGATACTCTGAACCCTCCATTAGTTTCCTCAAGCTGAGTTCACGCTGTATTTGTAACCACTACAAATGAAGAAGACCATGTCAGTGTCATGATAGACCTCCACTCAACACCTGCCAAACCCCCACATTGTATTAGAATTCAGATTTTAAAGCAGTTACAAACAAAATAATTCTTGATCCAGACTTTTCTCTTGGTGATGTGCAGTAAACCAGCTGCTTGTAAAGTCTCTCAGAAATTTCAGTTGCTAAATTCCAACAGCAGGAACATATCTGCCTTAATAGCCTTATTTCAGTTTGCTGGTTAAAGCTTGTAAGCTAGTTTGAATCAAACAATTTAAGAACAAGGCATGAGTACATGGTTCATTGTTTATTATAACAATTCTTTCTTACTGTGCTGTCTCCTAGCCATTATCTTGAAGCTTCACCAAGTTTCAAGGCTGCCTTTGACATACATGCTTTGTCAATTTGAAACAGTCCAAGTGTCTTACCAAATCTTGAGTTTTTAAAGACAATCAAGCTGCACTTCCTTAAGGCTTCCACCTTCACTGTCGTTGTGTACCTGCACGTGGTCCATGTTCTACCTTTAAACTGCAGTAGAACAGATAATACACATTTGTGTTTGCTTTCTACTGATCATTCCAGTTATGGGTTCATCCTTGCAAGCACTTGCCGCATGGAAATTGTTGAATGGATGGCAGAACAATAATTGGTTGGCTAACCACTGTGATCCAAGGAACAGGAGACAATATTAAGTCCAAGCAGCAAACTTAACATGAGGTTATATTGAGGTTTCTGGTTTCAGATTATCTCTAAGGACTGATACAAATTATATCAGGAAGTGGTTTTTATGCAACTGAAAAATTAGGCTTATCATAACCTTCTATTTTCCCAATAACTCTTCAATTTACTACTAGCTCTGGCTGTAGCATGGCAAACAGGGTGTAGCCTTTGGTGTGGTTGGAATCCTACTTCTATAGGATTTTTGTCCTAACACAGTAATCACTTTTTTTCAAACGGTTTATATCAAGTTATATTTGGCAAGTTATTTGGTACAAGCTACTATATACCTTTAAGTTTTTCTCTGCTGAACTAAGAGGTTTTTAGAACATAGTAAATCACATTCTGCCTATATTAAAACTGACCATCTGATAAAGCCAACTACTAGGACAAAAAATGATCTGAATATTTTCATGTAAGCAACTTGAGTCAGAGTCCAGCTCCTTCAAGGAATGCAAGTTTCCTTGAGTAAGCTGCTCAAGCATATTGAAAATGACTTCTTGCACTTCCAGCTTAAAAATGGGTTTTTGCTTTCCAACACAGCAACACCACATGCATTTTCCTTTTGAGCAATCTCCATTGGGTTAGTGATGTTAAGTCCTCTCTTCAGGGTCATTGCTGCTTACTGATTAACAGAGAGTATGCTAGAAAATGATACCTTCTCATTTTCTGTCTCATATAAGCAGAATACATAAAATAAGGAAAAAAATCAAGTTCTATGATATATAATCCATTTACTATCTTGCCAGTTGAAATGGAAACAGCTATTGCAAACAGAAACTGCACACATTCATCTATGACTTCATTCTGCAAGAAGGCACAAAGGAGATGGGAGAACAGTCTGTTTGCTCTACTACGGAAATATAGGCAATTCATACAAAAGGGATCATATTTAGCAGGGAAGAAGCCACTCATGTTCATGTTCTGTCCCCATGAGATGAAGTAGAAGAAAAATGGACATATTTTAAGGAAAAACGTCTGTGGAGAAAGACAAAGCATTTTATAACAATTACAAATACGGATCTACAGTTTCCTCACAGAGTGGCATCCTTCTCTCACTCCCTCTCTCTCCTCGCCCCTTAAAGGTTGGAGACTCTAGTTTTCCCCACATGCTATGAACAGGAAGTTACTATTTTCGTACTTCAGCTACTAACATCATTGCTTTTTCAGTTCCAAAACAAGGATCTGTAACTCCAAATTAGACCCTATGTATGTAGTATCGAACATCTACTTTATAAAGCATTGTGAAAGGTTTCTGAAAATTTCAGGCGGCGGAAACAAAAACAAATACAGTTTTACACGAGGTGGATGTGTGACTTCCCTTCCTAAAACTACCTTCAAGGTGGCAATTTATAACGGGTTATCACTTAAGAGTTCATTTTAATAGCACCTCAGAATTACATAGTTATTAGTTCAGAGGACTGATTGAATTTCAGCAATGCCATTTATAGAGTTAAAAAGCAGCAATTATAGATTGTTCTAGATATAGTTGCAAAATGCACATACTTCTTTTTGGTAAATTTGCATTCTAAATCAGTGTTGACTGCTGCTCGTGCTTCATTGCCTATATATAAATGCAATATTCAAGAGTGTATATTCTGACACCTTTTAAAATTGCTATTTTGATTTAAACAAAATTACT